CTAACAAGTCTATTAATAAGTTGGTTTGATTATTGTTGCTGTTGTCGTATTTTAGTTTCTTTCTTCTGAAAGGGAAGGGGAATTTAAAGGGAATTTTTATTTTAAAGTATACCTTTTTTCATTAAAATAAATTTTCAACTTTTAATTTTACTTTTATTTTGTTTTTATTTTTCTCCATACTGTGGTTGAATGTATAGAGAGAAGAATGGGAGAAAATATGTTTTACCACAGCCGCAGGTATATATTTTTCCTTCAACTATTTAAAATTGTCATCATCTCTATTTTTTTTTTTGATTTTGTCTATGCGATTGTGTTTTTGTTTTTATTCATAAAGAGACAAAAAAAACACAAAAATATAATAAAAAAATACAAAGAGCTAGCAGATGAACACTGACCCGTTTTTTTTTTTGTGGTTGTTGTTTTTTATAAATTATAAAAATTGTACGAAATTGAAAAGGAATTAAAATAAGGATAAATACAAAAATTAAAAAACCAAACGTAATTTTCTCGATTATTTGATATTTTGACATAAGCTATTTTTTGACATTTAATGTCAAAATGCTTTTATAATTTTGGTCTAAAAGTCGTAAATATTTTTAAATTACTTCGAAATTGTAAAAATTGATAGAAAGTACTAACAACATTGAATGGATATTCATACCGCTAAATCTTAATTACGAAGCAGTATAGTCATATAGATAACTATAATTTTGGACTCTCAAAAAAGTCGATGATCCAATGTTGAGCCCGATATGATTTTATTGAATTGTATCAAAAATAAACTATTCAACAACCTACGAACAAAAATGCAGCTCGATTAAAAATCAAAAAAAAGAAAAATTATTATTTTTCAAAAATATTTTGAAATATTATAAAAAATTTTGCATACATCCGTATGTGCATATTTTTCAATTATAATCTATATTCTTTATTGTATTGCAACTTCCTTTATATAAGTAATCGGGAAATGCAAATACTTCAATGTATATAAACTATAACACTTAACTAAAAACAAAAGGGATGGAATGAGATACAAATTCAGTTGATCTGTCCAACTCTATGTAGCCACACGTAGATATTTAAAGCCATCTACTGAATGAATGTATATACAACAATTACTCTACTAAATTAATAGACTGTATGTTTGAATAGGCTGAATTGTCATTTACTTATCCACTTATAGACTTTATTTTTAAAAAAGCTTCACAAAAGGAGTTGTAATGGAGTGAGAACAATTCCACTACTAAAAAATTACGTTCAGAGTGAGGCTATCGCATTCTATGTGGTAATGTGGTGTAATAACAAGTGAGTGTAAAATAAAAAGAGAGTTTTTCTTGCAAATTATGATTTTCGTGTGACAGCCTGTATGACTCGTTGTGGACATTTAAATTGATCCTATATTCTAAACTAAAATCCAAGGTTTTCTCATTCAAAATTATTACACACTGTTTTTAGTTATGAAACGTAATAGTTCAAAACGTAAAATAATTTTTATAACAACCAAGTGTATTAAAACTTTTTATTATACAAACTTTTATACCAACACGTTATATACACATAAATATACATATATAAAAGTAATTAAAACTAAAATGTGGAAAATACGAATGAAAAATATGAGCAAAAAAAAATATTGTTGGTATATATAAACTATATATCTGGTATACAGAGGTAGGGGTAAAATAAAAAAGTACTCAAAAAGTCGGTCAACCTTTTGTTTTTAATTCAAATTCAGAAAATATTTTTTTCTCAATTTATATTTATGTATATATATATATATATATATATATATGTAATATATATATATATATATATATATATATATATATATATATATACATTATATGTATACCTTTGTATATATAGGTTATAAATTCACCTATAGACACATTAATGGAAATATAGATGTTTATACTTCGGCATGGTATATATTGAATAAGAATGCTTATATATATAGTTAATTCTATTATAAATATAGTAAGCATTCTATATTGTAGCTTTTTTATATGTAAAATTTTTAATTCGACGTCCTTTTTTTTTACATTGCAGTAAAAATGCACTAATTTCGAAGCAATTACAAAAACAAAATAAAAACAGCAAGAAATAGAAAATGCGGTATATGGTTAAAGTGAAAGTCACTTATATTTTTTTTTTATTATATAAAATTTACATTATAATAATACGAATATATATATACATAGAAACATAGGCATTGAATAGAACTTGTAAATATTTACATATGTACGTACACTATTAATTATGTAAGATAAATTTAATATAGAAATAATGTAAAACAAAGTTAAAAACAAAATAAATTTAAATGAATTTTTATGTCATTTACTTATACGTTAGTGCCATGCCAGTATATCTTACTTACCTACCTACCTACCTAAATGTTAATTTTATTTTAAATGTACAATATTTAAAGTTTTGTCTGTCACATACACAATAATTAAAAAATGAATGAGAAATAAAAAATTATTTAAAATGTGTACTTGTGTATGTGTGTATGAGGCATTTTAAATTATATTTTTAAAATACTTAATCTTAATATAAATGTTTTTATATTTATAATAAAAAAATATTCTTTAAATGACATACATATACATACATAGGTATACTATAATAAAGATTTATTAGCAGAGCATCAAAAGCGCTATAAGATTTTTTAACACTTTAAAAATTTTAATTTTAAATTAATTATGTTAATGAGTAAGAAATATATATATGTATATATATGTACTCGTATATAAGTTAATTTATAAATTTGGGATAAGTACGCTATTAAAAATTATTTTATTCCAATTTTTTTTATCAACAAATTAGAAAATAAAAGTAGAAACATGATTATTAAATAAGCGTTTAATAAAATAAAAGTTGTTAAAAGTTGTCTGCTGAAAAACTGTCGTTGATATCATTCAGTTAGTTGTTCCAATAAAAGTTCTACAACAATATGAATTTTGTGAAAATTTTTTGAATTTGATACTTGATACAGCAGCTTCAAGAGCGATTTAAGGCGATCACAAGAAAGCCGAGAAATCATGTAAGAATTCTTATACGAGTACTCCAATGGGATACTGCAAGGTTAAGAAACATCTAAGTTAATTTAGCTTAAGGACTGACGGGAAAGGACTTAAGGACTGATTTCATCAGAAATATAGATTTCAGGAAGGTTCTCTAACCAAGACGCTGGCCGCGGGTAACAATACACAATAGATCTTTTAGGTCGCGGTGGATAATCGATCAATTTTATATAACAACGTAGTTTTGACATACGACGTAACATACTTCACATGCATGACGGAAATACATACACGTATTTACGTCATGCACATTTCGCAAACATAAATATGACGTAAATGCAATGTCTGTATAATTGCATTTAACATATTTATGTTTGCGAAAACCTTGTACTCTTGCACTATTGTTATATTTGAAAATCTTCTTATATTTTGAGAAAAAATTGGTTAAAATAATCCTTGAATTTCTCTTCATATACTCTAATTTTATTTGTGTTATATATATGTATAACATTTATGCGTATTTCTTTGAAAATGTGTATATGAGTTAAACTTAATTGTTAACAAATAAAACCTTTACTTATTTAAGGACTTTTAACAAATTATTTTATGATTTTCAAATGAACAAATGTTGAATCAGCAAAATTTTCTAGGAAAATAAATATTAATGACAAATTTTTTTTTTTGAATGTATAACGGTTACAGACTCAGAATACATAGTATACTATTATGTACATACCTACATATATTGAGGAACTCATATGACGAATCTTATATTCAAAAAAGTGTGGAAAAGAATTTTTAATTTTTATGTACGTATACTAATATGCTTAATAATAAAATTGTAAAATTTACAAATGTTTGTTTTGTATTTCGCGAAGTTACAAGTTTCCTTCTAATTCTCTTAAATTATTAACGCACACACACGTTTAAATTACACATAAATTTGTTATTTGTTTAACATAATTCAAAGGATATTGTCTTATATGGTTTTAATTCTTTGCCAACACTATTTTAGTAAACTATTATAAAATTTTCTATGATGTAATGTCTTCTATCTTATAAATTGTATAAAGGAACCAAATCCTCTATTATTTAGCATAGAGATAGAAATTATGTATGTATATGTACATATGCATGCATATACATTTTAATGACGGCAATTCTATAATGTAACTTACGTAACAGTAAGTTGTTTAAGAACTCTCTATTATAATATAAAAATTTTAAAATAGGTCGTCTTAATAATATGATGACAGCATATTTTTATGAAAAATATTTTTAAAAGGATTTATTTGTTTTAAATAACTTTTGTTATTTGAGAATTTTAAAAATTACAAAATATATAAAATATTTTTTCAAAGCTCTTTATGTTTCTTAAACAAAGTAGTTTTATGCGTTTATGAACTTTAAAATTAAAATTTTATATTAATATGTATTCACCTTGCCGCAACGGACCTAAATGGCCTAAATGCTCCTACTCCTTGGGAAATCGCGTCAGTTTGTTTTGTATTTTCCTAAAATATGGTGAGCGAATTATAAGTCTCAATTGAATATTAAATCTTACTCAAATTTGCAAAACTTAATTAAAGCAAAATTTGAGAGCAAAAAATTACTATGCGAATTTTTTGAATTCTCGTTGATAGTTGCTACTCTTTATGTTTCTCAAAATATAGAACGGTGCAATGAAAATAAGAAATTCATATAAGAGAAAACTTAAGAGTCGGTTTACTTATTTATGATTATAATATCAACTCAAATAAGTGCTATTGTTCCATAATTTTACTATTATTGCTGTAACGTAATTTGCAGTTAAGTAGCTTAACAGTATGGTTAATGTGAACTATATATGTATAAGTATAATTACTTAATTTATTAAAATAAAATATTTTCTTTGTTCTCTTAACAAATAACAAACCTGATAATTATAATTTTTTTTTTTCATAATATTTTTAAATTTTAATTTTTTTTTAATTTTAGGGTATTATGGATAATCCATCATGTCCGTCAACACCACCCGAAACAGTTCAAGCTCTATTATGGACAACAGTAGCAGTATTTGGAATTGTATATGCTCTATTGGGTACGTTCGAACAATAAAAATATCTTTTTTTTTTGCTCACTTTGTTTCTCTTATATTATTTACGATTAAGATTTAAATGCACGATTTTCACTGTCTATCTCTTTATAATATATAGTAAATGTATACAATTTAGGGCGTATAATTATTGATATACATGTATAACAGTACATACAATTGTCGTGATGTATTAACATTAAAAATATTTAAATATTATATACATATAAGCATAGAGGAGATAAATCGTTTAAATTGTTTAGTGTTGCATGACCTAAACAGAAAAATCCAACGAAATAATATAAAATACAAAATATTGTTTCAGTTTAATTTAACACTTAAAAATTTTCTGATAAAAACGTCTGTTGCTTAAAACAAAATATAAATTTTATATATGTATACAATATATAATATGTATATATACATGAAAAGATTAACATTTAATGTATCAAAATCAGAAAAACATTAATAATATAAATTTGTGTACATTATTTTGATCATTATGATCATAACTACCATTTAAAAAAAATTGTTTTTTATTTTTCAATTAAATGTTACAATTGAAAAATTTAAACAAAGAAAAACCTATTTATGTATAGCATACATATATATGTATGTGTATATACAAATGTATAATAGAACCCAAAAAAAAACAATCAATTGGGAACAGAGCCGTATTTAATACTATAGTTAATTCGGCAGAGGCCCTATAGGCATAGCTAAATTCTCATAATACGGATAAACCCCAAGAAGCGCATAATATTTAAACATAAGAACTATATCTGTACATAAGAATTTCTCGGCAATTTTTCAAAGCAGCAGACAAATTTGCCGTTTTCCAACAATTTTCAATTTAAATTCTCAAATTAGAATGAAAGATTAGGAGCTTTTTGGGATACTTTTACTTTCTTTTCAGAAAAAATAATCGCAAATTAATATTTCCTATTGGGAATTCTATTTTTTCAAATTGAATTAAAGATTTGGTTCGTTTGATTTAATCGAAAATAATTTCAAAATTTCATGGCAACGACGTCATCAGAATACATTGTCTGGTTCATAACCTTAATCAAAATTTTTATTGTAACATTCTCAATTTTCATATAATATTTTAGTTTTCAAAGCGGCATCCTGTACAGCATTTTAAATTAAATCCGGCACTGTTCATATAAAACAAATCAAATGATAAAAAAGCGTACATAAAAATGTTTTTATAATAGTGTTCAATGGTTATACACTGCTGATGTAAAATCATACATAAAATTTTATCTGATAATTTTTGTTTTCTAATTTAAATATTATTGTGTTTAAGATTGCCGTATTTATTAGAAATAAAACTGATATAAAATGGTCAATATAAGTTGTAGCACATTATTACTGTGTATTTTCAAGGTCTTAGAATTTGAAAAATTGGAAATTTAATTCTTATATTTGCTATTAATATATTAATCGTAATTAAATCTTTATTTTCATTTAAAATTTTAAATAACAATTAAAAATTTATAACATAACATATTGTTAATTCCAATTGAAATTCCTATATCATTTAATAGAAATGTTATAGCGATTATTGACAGAAATATGAAGGGATTATAATACTTAATAGTTTACAATTTGTGCTGCACAAGTAATTGTACAATAAATGATTTAAATCACAATATTTATACCATATAAAATTTTAATAATATTTTAGAATTATTACACATTTGTTTATAAGGCGACCCATAATTTTAATGTATAACATTTTTACAGACATAACAAATTAACCGAGAGGAGACAGAATTAAGGGGAATATTATTGTCATATTCAAAAAGTGAAGTACATATAGAATATATAAAAAACAATATTTGCTCCCCAAAAAAAAATCATAAAATAAAATTCATTTAATGTATGTTTGTGTTGTCATGTGTGTACACATATATAAAGGGAAGCTTTGAATAATTTAAATGAATGTGACATTGATATCGGTTTTTTTGTCTGTTGTAACACAATATTCAAAATGATATTGACTTTGTTTTTTATACAAACATACATATATATGATCTAATTGCTCATAAACCCATGTTCATAAAATATTACTAATTTCAAAAATTATTCTAAATTCTACAATTAATTATTCCGTAATTTAAAATAATAAAAGAAAACATGAGTCGAAATGAAAATAATAAAAAATAATAAAGTTGGATCAAACCAATGTTTTGTAAAGTAGTACTTTTCCCTTGAATAAGTGAAAATATTGCTTTTTACATTATTTAAATTAGTTTCATTCGTATGTGTACACAAAAACATTTGTTATGATTGCATACTTTTAGGATGAGAAAAAGAGTCCTTAACATAATGATCGAATTTAAGCGTTGATTGCGTAAGTTAAAATAAATAATTATATTTGTTAATGGTATGGAATTTTACCGTTAACTTTTCGTTTTTATAGAAATTTGGAAAAGCTTGCATTTCGCTTGTTGAATTTTATAAATTTCTCGAAATGACAACTTGAAAAGGGATCGAGGTGGAAAAAATATTCTTTTAACGAAATATACTATTTATTTAGTAGCTAAAACCTGTAACCCGTACCTGACGGACAAAGTGAAAGTAATAAGCACTTTTTTTCAAAATTTGAAAATTTTTAGAAATGTAAAAAATATAATAATTCAAAAAAATATATCCTATAATAATTTCTTTTTTATTAATCTCAATGATTGTTTTTGTAGATAACTTTCGTTGAATTCATTAATTTATTAATTCCATTGAGAAATTTAATTATATTTCATGGAAAAATATTCCTCATCATCATCATTTGTATATATATATATATATGATATATATATATATATATATATATCATATATATATATATATATATATATATATATATATATCATATATATATAATATATATATATATATATATGATATATATATATATATATATATCATATATATATAATATATATATATATATGATACATATATATATATATACATATATATATTAATTTTTATGATAATTTTTCAATTCACGGCATTTATCTAAAAATTTAAATTACAATTAATCTTGCATATACGAGGAATATGTAAAAGTGAGTTACTTAAACCATAATGCTTGCTAACCTTATATATACCATTGTATTTTAATTTAATATTAGGTAACTTATAATAGTTAATAGGTAAAAGCAATTGACGAATTTTAAATGATAATGTATACTTATATAGTAAAGTTAGTATATTACGTAAATTTAAGTGAAAAGTGGAAGCTATTAAAATTCACTACCAAACACAATCAATTATTTTTAAATTTCGTTTTATTATAATTATACAAAGCTATCATATACACCTATTGCATTTTGAATAATATGTAAAATTGGAAAAATTTTGTATAATATTATACGAGAAGATATTGTATATATAATTTTAAATTAAGTATTTTAATATACTAAAAACAAATATATTTATATAGTATGTAGCGGATAAAAGCTAAATATAATATTATGATAGAAAATTTAAGTGAAAGCCGGATTATGTAAAAATTGTATATCTGTATGCATTTAATGTATACATAAACACAAAAATAAAAATTATTATTCGATTTATTGTTAAATTTAATTGTACGTACATTGAAATAGACAAAAAGTGTATTATACCTCCCCTGTATTATACCTAAACTCTCTTTTGATTTTTTAAATTTTTAATTGAGAATATTAAAGAAAATTTCCAAATACTCTTTTATACATATTTCATGTCTGTAAAATGAATTTTTAAATTAAAATAATAAAATTGGCAAGATAATAAATTAATGTTATGCGAGGAATATCATTAGACATTGTGTATATTCACTTTTAAGTATATGTACCTACCTACATAATAGTAATTAGGCTCAAGGTTATATTAAAATTATGCCAACAATTAATTACTTTCTTTGTTATACTATTGAAATTCTTTTTTTTTATTGCAGAATAATAAAATATTTGTACTTGAGTATACTTTTGCGAAGTGCTTATATGCTGTCTGTATTCTTTAATAATGTAGGAATAATAAGATGATTATAATTTTATTTACAAACAAAAAGATTCATACCAAATTATAAATGTACAATATGAAGATATTTTAGAAATTGATGTTAAAAATGTGATTAAATTTTATTTTCAAATAACATTAATAAAATGTTTAAGAATTTCATTCAATTGTTGGAATTCAAAATTACATATAATTTTTTAAAATCGGCCTTGAGTTTTTATTTTACATAATAGGAATTAAACTATTTTGATTATTTTATTAAAAAAATATTTAATTTACTATCAATTTTAAAATTATATTGTTTCTATTATTATGAACTGATAACCAGCAAGCAATGAAAATGTAATAATGTAAGCGTAATGTAAACATTTAAGATTGTACACGATTCTCCGATTCTGTGTGTAAATTTTAGAATTAAAGCGTATGATTGTATTAAATAATGTGCTCTATATATTTGTATACCATTCTAAGAATTCATAATTTAGCATATATCTAAGTATAAATTCGAGCCCATTTTGCATAAATTTCGTACGTTTACCTTTATATCTAAGAAATTTAATTATTTTAATAAAACTTTCAATATTGTGTTCACATAAATTTTGCTATGAATGAAAATATATTATTAAAAAAATACAATAATACAAACTTTAATTAAAATTCAATCAAAAATAATTATGATTTTTATATACCTAAGTATGAAATCAATCAAGCATACATATTATTATAGTAATTTAGAAGGGCTTGTTCAACTTTTATATTAAGAAGAATACAAAAACAAAAGAAAGAAAATAATGATCATGATACTTTTACTTTCTTTTTATATATATATTTCGTATATGTGTACACATTTACATATTATGTATATGTAGATTTGTTGCATGCTCTAATGGTAAAAATTATATTGTTTATAAAAAATTTTGAATTCGATTGATAATGTGAGAAAATAAAAATTATTAACATTACAGCTATACATTATATATGTAATTTGTATGTATATA